CAGGCACATGGCTATGTAAGAGGATGTCTATATTTTAAGAGATACATGCTTTACTGTTAGAAGTGAATGGCTATAATGTTTATAACTTATTTTCATAATTATTAACTTATTTTTAAGTTATAACTTATTTTTAACTTACAACTTTTTTTTTGAGACAAGGTCTTACTGTGTAGTTCAGGCTGGCCTTAAACTTGCAGTGATCCTCCTGCCTCAGCCTTCTGAGTGCTGAGATTACAGGCCTGTGCCACCACACCTGGTTACAATTTATTTTCAAATGGTTCACCAATGCAATATTTGCAAAGATATACATAGTAGGATAAAACAAATTTAGCCAAATCCTAACTATTAAATCTAAATGCTAGCTATATTGAAGATCATTTATGTATGTTATGAAAAATTAAAAACGAAAAAATAGGCTGTTTAGTATACAAACATATGTGGTAAATTTGTCAAGACAAGGAAAGAAACAGTAATTGTAAAATTCAAGCAGTGAGAGGATGTCGCCAAGGTGAGCAGGTGGTAGATGCCTAGGTGTTCCTTGGGTATCAATGCAATTTATAAACTGATACAAAGAGATCTATTATGCAGAATCACAGGGAGCACTGTCTACGCTGAACTATACATGAATAGTGTCCCACAGGGTTGTTCAAAGCCTCTCTCTTGAGACAATTTGAGAGCAAACAATGAAAGTGGGTGGAAAAAGAAAACAAAAACCACAACCTTGAAAGTCAAAGGCCTAATCTCCTTTCGTGATCTGGAGTTTTGTATATTGAGGTGAAACATTAAGTCCTAGGTGGCTTTAATAAAGATTTGCCAACCCATGGGGCTACATCATATCGAAATGACTTAATTGGGACAAGAAGATGGCAGTGAACCCAGCCTTAGCTGCCAAGCTGTGCTGTCCCACCTGGGCCAGCCAGGTGATGTGAGATTGGATTCAGCAGCCTTTCATCAAGCTCGTCAATTTCTGGCCCATGGGGCCGGCCACTGAAGGGAACTGCAACCAGGCCAGGAAGCAGAAATGCAAATCTGAACCACAGGCCTTTAGGTTCGAAAAAAGCTGCTTAAATGCTCTGAGTTCCTCACACAAGACAGGACTTTGTTTCTCCCATCTTGTGCCTATCCATTTATATCTAAAAGAAACTTTAAAATCTTGGTAGTTCTGACAAAGTCTTATGCACACAAATATTCAATGCCAATGATATAAAAAATAACTGACCTCTGTTTTTGGAAAAGAATAATAAACATTTGGGCAGATAACTAAACTCAGCAGATCTCAAGGATGCTCGGCAACCAACTGGTCCTGTCGGGGTCTGGGACACACTACCCCAAAGGAAGACTGCAGGAGACCAAGACGAGACACCCCAAAATACACTTTTTCGACATATCCTCAGCTGGGAGTGCAGCCTCAGCCACAAGTGAAAAGCTCTCCTGTCTTGAAGGCATTCAATCCTTGAAGGAACCTGTGTGTATCAGGAAGAGCGAGGCTCCCAGATCACTTTATTCTGGAGACATTATTGGTACAAGACAACCTTCAGTCACCAGAGCTTACCCCCCAGCCCCTAGGTAACTGGTCTCCGCCAGCCCTGCTCCCAAAGGCCCCTTCTGTTTTGTAGCTCAGGATGCTACACCAGCTTCAATCATCTGGCATTATGTGGGACTCATGTGCATGTGGATGTATATAAACCTGCTCTTCATTCTGTTAATCTGTTGTATGGCAATTTAATTAGTGTCTAGCTAAACAACCTAGAAGGGTAGAAGAAACTATTTATTAGCTTCCCTGCAGCCATTAACTAAATTAGTTCCTGGAGTTACTTCAAAATGTGATGTCATTTGAAATAAAAGTTCTGAAACATTTCCCACATAAATGAGTCTAGGTGTAAATAGGTATAAAAAATTGTTTCTTCTCCTAATCAATCATAAAGTAAGCAAGGAAATATTTGTCTGATTTATACCCAGGTACCTGAAGTCACAGAATTAAGGTTTTCACCCAAAAGTCTTTTGTTCAATGCCAATGTTTCATAGGTTAGAAAGACTAAATTCATCCAAAATCTTTCCAAAATATCTCTCTCTCTCTCTCTCTCTCACACACACACACACAACCAGTAAAAATGTTCATAAGTAAATGTTTCAATTAACTTCATAATTTACATTTTTTTAGTCAGAAAATTTAAGGTGAATCCTAACTCTAATGCAATGTGACTAGTGAACAGGGCATTTGGGTTTTCAAACTTTAGTCTTCTTAAGTGTAAACTACAGCTATCTTCCTTGTCTACACAACTGTTCAGAGAGTCAGGCTGGTACTGTAAGCAAGGATTTTTTCAGGCTGTAAATTATTTTACACTAAAAAATTTACAGTATTCTAGGCAATGAATCCACAATACAAGATATTAGTATATTCTACTTAGTTGTTGAGCAATAGGCAAATCCCAGCTCCACCTCTTTTCCCAAGGGACACAGAGTATAAAGAAGAGCCACAAAAGAAGGTGACTGACACCCCAGCAGAGCCATGCTTACTGCAGGCACCTCACCAACACTAACCCAAAGTGCAGAACCAAATCAAGCCTTGAAAAACATGTTTAAGTATCTAAATGACCTGTTTGCCTTGTACTGAATTAAAAATCTGTATTATTAAAAACATAATTCCAAACAAGGAATAAAGCAAAATAAATCTCTCAAAGCCTTGTACTTAGCTACTCCATCCATGAAAAGACACATGAATATCTATTTTACAAACACGCATATGCATAAACACAAATATAGAGTAATCATACTACATTATGTGTATAATTTTTCTCTACAATTTTAAAACAACTTCTTTAAATTATCCCACTTTGCCCCAGCACTTTTACGATACTCAAATACTGCTTGCATTCAAAAGTTCACTCCAGTGCACATGTAAAGCTTGATACAGTTGATGACATTCCATAGCTGTCTCAAAATAAGAAAATAAATTATTTAAAGTCAAGATCATGAACAGTAGGTTAAAATGCACATCATAACACTAGGATGTTCTTTAGAAATCCAAGTGTAATATAAAACAGACTACAACATGTGAGAAATTACCACCCTCACCTGCACAAGGCTTACCGTCCCCATCAACCTGACTCTAGAACTTGACTTTAGCAGCATTACCTTTCTATTCTTGGAAACTCCTGCTCAGAAGGTCACTTTTAATTTTTAAGGAGGTCACTTTTTCTGAAGAACAGAAAGGAACTTCTGAACGACACATCAACTCTTCAACAGAAAACCCCAGTGAGTAGTTCTGTCCTAAGATTCTTTGAACTTCTTCCCTCAAAATGTTTGCCTGGCTATTGCAAACAAATCCCAAATTCTAACACTGTGGTCCCTACCCAAGCCTAATCAAGGCCCTGCATCTAAGGACACACCTTCAACCAACTTCCAGTTCTGTTAAATCACGCCCTGCTTTCCCCACTCTAAGAGGAGATAGTGTTCTCCCACATTGAGGTAAGCTGTAAATTCTGCTCTGTCTTGTCACTGGGTTGGGCTGTGATACATAGAAAGCTAGCATTCAAAAGGCATTATTAAGGCTGGGGATGCAGCTCAGTGACACAGCACTTGCCCAGCATGGCTGAGGCCCTGGGCTCAATCCCTAGGACAGCCCTCCTGCCAAAAAGTACTATTACATAATTACTACATAAATATGCTAGGTGGAGAGTCATCCCAAAATAAGCCACACTGGTAGGCTGATTGCTTCAAACTGATGAGAACAGCAGGTGTGTAACAGGGGCTTTCCCTCAATTTTCTTAAAAGGGGTCCTCCCAAGACAACCCCATTGTCATGAAAACCCTCCCTGGAATTCCTATCTATCAGGGACAATCAACCCCTGGAAGGAAAAGACTAGGACTTTACAACTGTCCCTGATGGGCTGTCACATGTCACCTGTCACCTGTGGGCTGCCTACAAGGTCTCTTCCTCCTGTGTGGAGAGGGATGCTCTAGGATTTGGCGTATTCACTTTCCTTCATGTGGGGACCCTCTGCACAGTAGTAAATTTTATGTCATCATATGCTGGTGTCGGTTTTTTAAAAGGTCAACTACAGGACCTTCAGAAAAGGGAAGAGAAAGTCCCCTCAGTCCTACCACAGCAAATGATCAAAGCTAAATTATAGAAAATCAGACTAAAGATTGATCAATAATCAGAGACTATCAGCCTACATGATATTCCAGAAGTGTACAGTGGCCTAGATCAGTGGTGGTGAGCCTACAGCACGCATGCTGCAGTGGGCTGTTAGTATCATGGAAAACTCTACAAGGTTCGCCATCACTGCCCTAGACCTATATGTAAATATTCAGAAGAGTATACGTTACACTTATGAGCAACACCAAGACAGCTCATAATGAAGTGTGACAAAATGAAGGCATTAATTATAGAGACAAAATGAGGTTTACATAAAAAGTAGATAAAATGCAGTGAATCTGGGAGGACTAAATGCCTACAACTGGTAAAATGTGAATGAAGTCAGCAGTCCAGTCAATAATACTGTCCCCATGTTCACTTCTTCAGTTTTGACACAGGTGCTATGGTTACGGAAGATGTGACCACTTAGGTAAAGGGACACACTGCTATTTTTGTAATGTCTCTGTAAATCTAAATCACCGCAAAACTTAAAGTTTATTAGCATAATTATAAAAGAAACTGCACGTCTCTACACGGCAAATCTCAGAGCAGCAGCAGGGCTCACCCCCTCCCTGCTTTCAGTCTGCAACCTCGGGTCCCACATCCCCTTCCAAGGCTGATCCCTCTCATCCATCCCACATTAGGGAGCCCACTTCCCTGACCACGTGAACCCTGGCCTGCTTGCTTAGGTGCCCTTGACCTGCAGCATCCTGGGTCTGCACCACTCTGAGAGCCCTCCTGCTCAGCTACTACAAGGGCATAGTCCCTACACGCGCAGTCATTATGAGGACCAAACACACAGAAGAGAAGTAGTCCGTGAACTCTAGGCCACTCTACCAGCATTAATTATTATTACTCACTGCTGAGTGAAGTGTGTTCATCTGGCACACAATAAATTTGTGTAAATGAATTTCACTGGGTTTGATGGCTCTGTTAGTTGCCTCTTGCTCATTTCATATCATGGCTCCTATTAAAAATGACATTACAAACATGTTTCAGCTCCTTGTAGCTTCTCCCTCCAGTGCCTACCGAGAAAACGATGGCCTTTAGTATACCCTCTTCTGCTTTCCAAACTGTTTCTGTGTCCACCCTCCATTTCCATTATTTTTTTTCCAGGATGAGGAACGCATCCTCTTGTCTTTCCTTGGCCGCCCCAACTGCCTGTGTTCTCCACCATGTCTGGTTTCTCTACGACCCACCTGTCGGCCCCGCTCAGCTCCTCCACTCTCCCAATTTCTTTCACACAAGCATGTGCCTCCCTCCACCGAGAAGATCTTCCCTTGCTCCTCCTGTCCTTTCTGCTGGCTTTCCTGTATTCCTTTTCGCTGCTGCTTCCTGACAACACCTACTAATGTTTCACCTCTCACTTTCCTTGACCTAAAACCTGGCTTCTAATAAGGTCTTTCGCTAAACTCTGTGTTCTGTGTCTAGCCTGTATTCCCAAGCAGCATGATGATGCTCCCCAAGCAAGCTCTCCTCCCTTAGATCCCAGGGCCCTCCCTAAACAAGGGCACCTATACCACAGCTCTCGCTTCAGTTCTCTCTCCCTCTCTATTCTAATAAAAAGCTGGCACCCTGGCCCTGAACTCTCCCATCAGCATGAACCTTCACTACCTGGAGCCGTCTCATTTAGATCTGTTTCTCTAACCTACTGGTTAGAGAATAACATACCCTGCCCAACCCAACTCTCCCACAATCACTCCTAACCTCAACAATTGCCCAATACATTTTGCTTCTTACCTGAAAGACTCATATGTTGTCTATCCAAATGTATCTTCCAGAAGGTTCTTCTTTTATCAGTCTTACCACGAAGGCCCTAGTCCAAGTCCTACTAGCATCATCTGAAATACACATTCTCTTTCTCAAGCCCAACTCTACCACCCTTACCTTCAGCAATTCGTATCAATAGCATTTGTAACTCCTCTTGTCTGTTTTTTTTCTTTTTTCTTTTTTTTTGGCAGGTCATTCCCATTTTATTACTTTTCTCAGACCAAGGCAATGGGCTGACATCTCTGCAAAACCTTCCAGTGAGTTCCCACAGTCTATGGAATGAGACCTAATCTCACAAGGACTCTCAAGCTTCCAACTCCACCTCCCAAACACAGTTTATGCTCCAGGTTTTCAAACTCGTATCAGTTTACTGTGCCTAGAGTGCTGACCCATGACAAGAGTTCCTCTACCCTTTGCCTAGAACACTCTATTCCAACCCTCGCCTACCTGGTTGAATTCCCAGGCATCATTTAATTCCAAGTTCAACTTTCACTTCCCCCTTAAAGCTTTTCCTGTATTGTCCAAGTGGAGTCCAGCCAGGCCCTCTCTGCTAAGAATAAGCTGGGTACAGATGTCTAATAAATCTAACTCACAGATGTCTTGGCGATAGGGGTGGATTCCTTGAGGAAGTGTTCCTTGTCATCTTTCAAGTCCCACTCCTGACTGTAAGGACCAATCTGGAACATTCCCCAGCAGGTAAGAAGCACTTGTTTCCCTTGCTAATTCTCTGGAGCACAGCGCCTTCCCTCACCTTAATAATGGGTCCTGAACAATGGGAATGTCATGTTAATAATACCGTTATAAAAAGACCACAAAATGGCAATGCATGGGAGTGTACTGTAACAGCAGGGTATAATATACCTCCTTCTTTTACCTTATTAATTCCCCAAGACTTTTGCCTTTACTGGGACTTGAATAGAAAAGGCACTTAAGATGTTTTAAATGGACCAAATATTAACTAGTCTCTAAAGTGCAAGTTGATCTTAAAATAGCCCTTGACCTGGAAATATAGGCATATTCAAACATACGCCCTGATAAGAAAGGACAGACAGAGGATAGAGTTCAATGTCTTGAAGCTTGCCAAGGGTTCCTTGTGATGAATTCTTGAGTATTGCAATACTTCGGCAAGGTCTAAGTATACCCAGTCTTGTCTGAGACACCTTAACCAAACAAGTTACATATGGCAAATTTACTCTCAGAAAACAAAATCCAGCCTATGTATTAATCAAAACCAAAAGTATGGCATTTGTAAATAAATAAGCAGCAAGGTAACCCAGTCACAGATAGCTACAGACAACAGTTCTAATGAGCCGAATCGCACCAAAGAAGGAGTTTCCAGTTTGAATACATTATCATGTTAAAAAATAAAATTAACTCCAAAGGTATTTTATTCATGGTTTCCAGAACATATTTTGTCCTAATAAAAGCTTGTTAGCATCCTCTAGTTAGGGAAGTCAAATGGGCAAGCTGGTATTTTCTTGATTTTAAAGTATACCAATGCTAAAACAAAATAAATCCCAACATAATTAATTCTATTTCTGGTGTAGTTTCCAAGGCAGTTTTCACAAAGACTATTCTCAGCCTACTGTTTCTAGCTTTGTAACTTCAACGTTCAGTAGCTGGAAATTGTTATGTTTTGTGAAATTCCCCGGCACATATGTTCTATCCCAGACTCCCAGACTCTAATTTTGTTCCATCTGCGATCAAAGATACCTAAGAAAGTGTCATCCCATTGATTTTAAAGAGTTTTAGCCCTAAAATCGCTGTTATGTTTACTGTGTCGTGATCTTATGTGATATTTTCCTAGCACTGCTTTGTAACCTGGGTTACATCCAGTTCATCAACTTTTCAAGTGGAACCTTCCCCAAATCAGAACTGCTGGAGAGTCTCAGTAATGATACAAACCGTAAGACAGGAAATTAGGAAAATTCAGTTCTATTTCGAAAAGCACTGAACTTGACCGTGGGCAACCCACTTCACTTCTGTAATTCAAACTGCAATACTGGCATCCACTTCCAAAAAAGAATGCTTCTAAGAATAAAGTGTTTTGAGTCTCTTCAAATAAAATGAAATATTAACAGAAGATTTTATAAAACAATCTCTTCTCCAGCACAACTTCCTAAGCCATCAGTTCACAAGGTCTTAAACCTACATTTCTTAGGAAGTTCTTACTTGCACCAGGACACTACCAAATATAACCTGGCTTTTTCCAGCCCTGAGTGGAAACGCAGTACTGCTTTACTTATTCCTAAATGGGAGGCCAGGCAGAGGGAGTGTGGAAGGAGATCTATCAGCAGAACTGCACGGTCAGCCGGGAACTCGCGAGAAGCTGGAAGACAGCAATGCCTTTCACGTGTGACAGTTCCCAACCTGCAAACTCGTTCATTATGGAAATGGTCAGGCGACGCGAGCTCCTGGGTAGCGCCAAAGCCCGGATCCCAGGCCAGGCGACGCCGAGATGAAAGTCTGGAGCTCAGTCCCGACTTGGTCCCTGCATCACGACCGCAGCCCCGGGATGACTGGCTGCACCCCGACTCCGCCCGGCCCTGGAGCCGCGGGGACTGGACGGGCAGAGATCGCGCCGGCAGCACAGCGCTTCCAGGCCTGGCGCAGAGGTCCCCCGTCCGGGTCGCGACCCACCCTGGGGTGCATCCCCTCGCCCCCGCCCGGTCCCGCCGGCCCGCCGCGCCTCACTTTATCGCTGGTGCTCTCTGTTTCGTGGTCGCCGCCCGCGGCGTTCCCCTCGCGGGGCGGCGACAACCCAGGCCCGGGCCCGGGGTCGCCCCCGCGGTACCGCAGCTCCAGCATCTCCGCTCCGGGTCACCCCGTAACGGCATAAACGAGGGCCGCGCGCCCAGGGCGTCACCAGGTACGCGTCCCACGCAGGCCAGGGCGGAGGGAGAGGACGCGGACGCGACGGCTCCGCCCCGCCCACCTGTGCGGCCCCGCCCGCGTCACGCGCCCAGGCCCCGCCCCCGGCCCCGCCCCTGCCCCGCCCCTGTGCTGCACTGCGGCGCCCGCGGCCCCGCCCCATGACGTCAAGGCAGGCCCCGCCCCCGGCTCCGTGCTCCTAGGTGAGGTTACGGGCCAGGTGCGCGCAGCGCAGCCAGGTGCGGGGCGGGGGCCCAGGCAGGACCGTGAGGCTCGTGGACTTGGGCGCCAAGGAGAAGGGAACGCGAGGGGAACGCGAGGGGAACGCGGGAGCTGCTCAGACTCAGGCAGCGCCCCGCACGCTCCCTCAGGGTCACCCCACACCGCTCTTCCAGGATCGCCCCACAGCCCTCCTGTGACACCTCGATCCTCCTCCAGGGACAACCTGCACACTTCCCCAGGGTCACCTGAGCTCGAGGGCTGGTGACTTGGAAACCTTGGAAACCAGTCCGGCAGGACCCACCCGGACCTGCTGTTGGGCGGCCGCATTCCAGGCCTGTGCCATCACTTGGGAAAGAGGGTGCGGGCCTGCCTGGGCTCCAGGGGTGGGCGGGTGGCCGGCCCCCGGCTGCATACGCACAACCAAATTCTGCCTGCGAGAAACTCGGGTTGTGAGTCTCACAAAGCTCACTACCTGCGAGGCGAGGGCGCACCCGCGACACTCCAGTCCTGGACAGCCCTGTGCCCCGCGCTGCCCACGGTGGAACCCAGAAAGGCGCTGGGTCCACGCCAGTTCCAGAGCAGGTCCCGAAGAGGTGCTAGTTCTCTGGACACGGGTCCTCCACCTGGTCTCTACTGACACAGTGACACACACACGGACAGAGGCCTTCCTGCACACGGGACAGCACGCAGACCAGCGCCCTTACAGAAACAGGTGAACAATATAAATGTCTCAAGGTCATAGCTTGTGAAAAGAAGTCATGCAACGTGTCATTTTCACATTTAGCAACAAATGAGTAGAAACAAAAATCACGTAGGATGCATTGGAAAGCAGAACACAAGGTCGTCGTGTTACCACCGATCTTAAGATTGGTCTGGGTTGCCACATTTTCAAAAGTACGTAGAGAAACCATAAATTGTTCCTTATGGAGAGGAGAGTAACAAAATGACAGAGAAAGATAAATAAGACCCAAGGGTGATGGGCAAGGGTTGGTTTTCCTCAGGAACAGAAAGCCAGGCATGAGTAGATCATTCAATTGTTCTCTGCCCTTTGGAAGACCAGAAAGGAAGGGCTGCCTTCCCTACAGCCAGGAAGATAGTCAAGACATCAGTAGGGGCTGCCCCACCCACCCCAGCACAAGGGATTGGAAGTATTTAGTGCTGACCTTCCAGGAGGTAGGAGACAGGTTCGGCTAAGATCTCCAGCCCCAGCTGCAGAATCCATAGCAAGGACAATGGCCTCCGTTGACTTCCCATGCTCACATTGCCAGAACCCACCCCACTCACTATGCCTCCAGAAAAGGGGACCCATCACACCAAGGTCCCTCCACGTCTTCCGCTGTCCCCATGCCCCAGCAACCTAGTGCCTTCTACTTTCTCTCCCTTTGCTGTGGGAGCTGAAAAGGACAGTGGAGGAGTGGCAGGAGGGACAACAGAAGACAGTAGAGTGTGACCAGGGGGGTGGATTCCTCAGGCCAGGGAACGCAGGATCAGGGAAGAGCAACAGCTCACCCTTTGCCCTTCAGTAGGCCCTGCTGCTTCCTGGATCCTGGCTGAGATGGGCATCTCCTCTGTCCTCTTCATCATAGTTATTGTCACTAATTAATCATATACATTGGGCCTGGGAGCGAGCAGCACAGGTCTAGCTAGCTCTTGTCACAGGACCAGCCTCCACTGTCACATAGCCATGGACTTTGCTGAAGACTGAAGGAAGAAATGAACAGGTGGCAGAGAGTAGTGTGACAAGGGAAATGTGTTCTTTTTAAATAATCTGTGTTACTTGCATAGGTATTCGATTTTCTTCCTTTTTCACTTTATATGACAAAGACTGATCTTACCATGTATTAAAGGGTTTAGTAATGCCTTGGACATTTTATTTAAGATACATTATGGTATATTCCACCTACTAAACTAACAGCCTACTAAACTTTGTGTTTTCAGACATTATCAGTGTGTTTTCTTTTTCTCTCTTCCTTCTTGCTTTTGGTTTTTCTCATTCAGAAAATTTAGATCCTCAAATTTATTGCGCTTGTGTTCCACAATGCAAACTCTCCCATGTAACTCTCAGGAGACTGTCAGCAATGCGTACTTGGCTGATGTAAAGATCTTCCACTTAAATGGTCTTTGGAACTCTTAGCAAGGTACTTGCTCCAGGGTTAAGAGAGGCAGCTAACTCTGTTATTTGTATGGCTTCTGTTTCAGACCTATTTTTTTAACTTTCTGTTTTGCCCAAAGTGATGGGTATATATGGAGAGTCCTATTATCCTATCACTTCACTCTTGTTGAGGGTTCCCTGACTGATAAACCTCCCTTGTATGTGGGAATCTGAACTGCTTTCCACAGCAGAGGCTCAAAGGTGCCTGGCTGGAATGTCCCCAGCTTGCCAGGGAGATGAGAAACCCTCCTTGGGCAGTGTTCCCTGTTGCTTGGATACCCATCCTATAGCTTTGCCCTTGACCTGTCTGCTGCCTTCATCAGCTCTGTCTCTAAGCTGCAGATAGGAATTTCTGATCTCACCCTAGCAGATGGACATTCTGTGGGAGACTCTTGCTAGGCAATTTATGTTGTTTACCTTCTTATTTTTAATGAGAAGGGAAATGGGAAAACAATGGTGTACTAGCAAGTATTTTAGTGAGAGGGTATCAGGAATAAGCATGGTACAGTTAGAAATCTATATATTAATCAGCCTGGGCTCAAGCCATTAAGTCTGTCATCTTCTAGCTTTGAACTAATTTTACTTTACTCTTCCTCTATATTAACGTTTTCCTTTTTTTTTTTTTTTTTTTTTT